CATCGTGATCCACAATCCGGCCTACGGGTCAATATCAACGGCACTCTTGCTGTCAATTTTTATCCAGATTGCACTAACAACTGCCTGGATATGTTGGTCATTACGAGCGATAGTAAGAAGGTAGAAATATGTTCCCCGTGTATATCTTAATTCTTTCCGAATAAGACTCACCAACAAATCATGGTTGCAGCAGAGAAAAACCACGGTTGAACATTATACATGATGGTGATCATGGCGATTATGATACTAGCGTCAAACAAACCTCATGGAAATAATGATTGCCGTGTCTGCATCGGGTCTTACTTCTGGCGCGGACAACTTTGGGTATATTATAGTGAAGGTCGAAAACTCTACGACCAAAGCGTCTAGAATGTTGCTAGTTAGCACAGATTTAGGTGGCACAATACTCCGTCATTATCAACATCAGGGAATCCGTGAGGACGGTGACGTGGCAAGACATTTTTCTGTCATTTGTAAGTCTGCCCTCGCAAGTATCATCAAACCTTTTTCGCAACGCTTCACGAGTTAAGATATACCACAAAAGTGCACTGAACTCGCATGACTTGGCCTATCTGAACAACGAATTACACCGCGGAGTGATGCACCTACTTACAATCAAAACTACAATGAAAAAGTGGGAAAACAATAACCAAGGTTCCGATCCGCTGCTTGCAATAATTGCAATCGTTGTTTGATTTCCAAGAACCACTGTCGCTGTCAGATATAAGTCAATGATAACCTGCGCAAAAGTCTGCTAGAATAAGCCTCGTACGGGACCTTAGTAAATCCAGTGGCACCTGCGTAGCGCCATCCGGAATGCATAAATATATTTTTAGCTTTTCCTTCAGAGAGCGTCGCAACCACTCGTCATGCAGTTCATTGCTATTATGTTTTGGCCGTGATAAACGCAACAGCGGTCGGCTCCAAACAGAGTGATCGGCATTGGGGACATATTATTTAGAGGTTTCATGGCAATAACACAATTGAAAATGCCGCAAGCAACACTCACATGAGTGAGGCAGATAAACAAATTCCACTAACAAATTCCAATAAAGAGAGGTCGCATAATATGAAAGCCATTATACGCATGGTGAACCCTCAACCGATGCGCATATTGTCATGGCCGATATTAACGAATAAATCTAGCCGAGTGCGCTAAAATTATTTGAGTCGACAACACACAATAATCAATGATAATGCGACACGCCATCGGAACAATACATTCCAACACACACGTATCCATTCCAAATGTAGACAATCCGGGTGGGTTATCGTGAGGTTTATGCTGGAAACATTTCACCTGACCGCGAGAAATCGGAAATTGCACAAGCTCCTCTCTCGTGGTTTATGAACCTCACCTAACAAGCACCTTGACACAATGGTTCTAAGAGGGTATTTTAGAATTCATATTGGTAATGATTAGCCCCAGTCTATATATATTCACCGATTAAAGTTAAACCCAATTGTCCCGTTCAATCCGGGCACATAGTAGATTAATCAATACTAATCTACAAATTTGATATGCAGGTTTCCTTGGGCGAGGTGGCCCAAGTGGTTAGAGCGCGAATTTACTGACCGGAAGGACCGTGGTTCGAAT